TTCGGCACTGCAGCAGCACATGGAAATAAAGTGAGTGAAGGCAGGAGGTTTAGGGGTTCCCTTTTACAGTTTTTGGTGTGTCCTTCCATTGACAATTGTACTTCCATTGTTAAGTATTCTAGTTGAGATCCAGTTCTAGGTCTTTATCTGAGAACTAGCTTTTTACTTTTACTAGTCCTTGTTTATCTCTTAATCCCTTTAAATTCATTTTAAAGGAGCCACATTAGTTTCCCCCAATATTATGTTTTATTCAATGTTCTTTCTTCCTTCCAGTTAATTTATCCAGGCTGCTAGGATTTAAATATTGTTTAATTCTTTTAACTTTTCATTTGTATTTTTTGCTTGAATTTCCTCTCAGTATAATCCAAATTAAGAAAAAATGTTGAGATTCTCAGTCTTATAAACAGAATGCCAGCATCATTAGTAGGTGCACTTAATTTGCTTGATTGAATTTCAACAGCTTTTATAGTTTTGCTTTGGCCTTCAGTTGGATGAGGAGCAGGGGCATTTATTGATATCTATCCTTGTTTACCAGACAAATGCTTCTTAGGGTTGGTGATGTTTAAAAGCAAATTGAGACTTAGCTTTGGATATATTCATGCTGGTTGGTGATCTCTACTAATGATCTTCAAAACTCATCTTTATCAGCTATTCCTTGAGTGAGAGAGAACAGCCCATTTGGCAGAAAATAAAACAGGTGAGTTGATCAAAGATGCTCCCACCACTCAACATGATAAGAGTGGAGAGGCAAGAAACAAGTGGAGAAATATGGTGGGTGTCAAATGAGAAGATAGATGGTACAGAAAAGAAACAGGTGGAAAATGATGAAGAAGTTGACCTCAATAAAGGTATGTTTATTTTGATGTATTCAAATTAAATGTCTTCTTTTTCCTCCAAAACATGTTTAACTCATACATTTTTATAAACTTGCTGTTTTTATGGCCTCTCTAGTTCAGTGCAAATAAGCTTTGATATTTCAGTGCATGTAGGAGTTCTTCACAGTGAGGAAGAACTCACTAGGAAGTGAGGAATGTATATGTCCAATGCAGGCAAGGTCTGCTCTTCTTTCCTGGTTCTCTTTTTACTTATCTGTAAAGAGAAGCAGCTAAATAATAGGACCCCTAGAGGTTTTTATACTTCTGAAATTTGGGGGTTCTTTTATTAGCCTCACTTTGTTAAACTGAGAGGTATTGCCATAAATTACAATAATAGTTCTCAAAATCTTTTGCCCATATTTTTAATTGGGTTGTCTGTTTTTGGTTGAGTTATAAGAATTCTATATGTTTTACAGACTTGACTCTTACTGAGTACATGATTTGCAGATACATTTTGTGAATTGTCTTCACTTTTTTGATGGTGTCATTGAAACACAAAAGCTTTAAGTTTGATGAATTCCAACTTACCTACTTTTTATTTTGTCACTTGTGATTTTGTTGTTGTATCTAAGAAACTATTTCTTAACCCAAGGCCACTGAGATTTAGTCCTGTGTTTTCATCTAAGGGTTTTATGACTCTTATGTTAAGGTCCCTCTTCCATCTGTGTTATTTTTTGTTAGCTTGTGTGGATATCCCATTTTTCTAGCACCATTTATTGATGTTTAGTGGTTTTGAAGGAAATGA